GGTTGAAGGGGGGTGTGGAGGAGGTTGTGTGAGGGGAACCTCTTTGTTGTCCCTTCTTTTCTGGTAGGTTCTCCCCTCATTCCTCACTGTCATACCTTGATTCCTTGTTGGTGCTTCGATACCTCTCTTCTGCTAACTGGAGCCCAGCAGAAATCTATAAGGCAGAAATCTGTAAAGCAGAAATCTGTAAATAAGAACTGACATCTGTAGGGTATTCTGTTCACCATAAATAAGCATGGTATATTGCTCTATTTGAGACTTCTTTTACCTAAGTCTGTTAATAAATTTTTTTATATTTGCTTCCATAAAGATCATGTATATATTTCCTAGTTCTTTTTTTTTTTTAGGTATATTTTGGATATTGCTACTCTTTTGAATGGTATATTTTCCATTATATAACCTGTTATTTATTTTGTGTGGCTAGACTTTTTTTTTTACGTTTATTTATTTGAGAAAGGGGGGGCAGGGTGAGGGAGAGCGAGAGAATCCCAAGTAGGCTCCACTCTTTCAGTGCACAGCCAAATGGGGGGCTCAAACCCACAAACTTTTGGATCATGACCTGAGCCAAAGTCAAGAGTTGGATGCTTAACTGACCAAGCCACCCAGGCACCCCGACTTCTGATTTTGCTGTAGTGATCTATATCAGCTTCCTAAAGTTCCTTATACATTTAAATATTGGACAGCCAATTTCTTTGGAGTTTTTAATTAGGATATCTGATAATCTCTTTTCATAATCCATAACTTATTTTGGTATTGCTACATATGGCTGTATATTAGCTATGCAATAGAGTCTCGAACAGTAGAAATGGTACCACACCTCTCTGTCTTGTCCTGACCATACTGGGAATGTTTTAACATTTCATCCTTTACATATCTGTGCTGTTGATTTTACAATATGGAAATTCCATTCTAATATGTTTGCTAAAAGTTACTAGCATGAACTAGGGTTGAATTTTTATCAAAGGTTTTTTACTTTCAGAACAGGATAAAATGCTTTCTCTTTTCTGTTAACATAGTGAATTCCAAGTCACAGGTTTTTTTCAATGTGATATGATCTTTGCATTCCTTGGACACAGCCTATTTCATTTAATTTGCTGCTGCACTGGATATGCTATGAATTTATTTAGAATATGTATATGAGTGAGCTTCACTCAAGTTTCCCTCC